TCATAAATCAATTTTAATTTAATCTCTCAAACTAAATAATATTATTATATATATCAACCAGATACACATTTTGGGTTGGGGGTACAATAATTTAGAAAAATTAATTTTCTGAATTAAACTCATTTTCTTATAACCTCTATAAACACATTTTGGTCAGTAATTTTTTATCAGATTTTTTTTCTGCCTCGCTGATATTGAATTCTTTGGGAACATGTATACAATTCATGATGTATATTCTTTACACTTCACACACTGCCCAGAATCATGTTAAATCATTAATATCTATTGCACTTTCAAATTTATTCTTCTGAAACTGTGTTTTGGTATCTATGAACAAAGTTAAGGTTGTGATTATGACTAGGTTAATATCCTTCTGGTGATGTGGTCTGATTTGTTTCCAGCTGGCGGATATTACTATTGAAGTACCAGGTAAAAAAGTAGGAACAAAACAACCGCTGCAGAAATCTTCCAAAAAAGAAATTGCACATGACAAAATTGAAGGGAATTTACAAGTCGGGAAACAAATGAGAAAAGAATTTAAGAAAATGAAAAAACAGAGACGGAGATCAGGTAAACTTAGTTCAGTTTGTTAATTTCTATTTTCATCATTAGCAGGATGGGTTTAGCTTATGATGTATGTGTATAGTTTATTCAAAATAAAAGCCGTATATGATAAATTTTATTTCTTCTTATGATACATTTTGAGCCATGTTTTATACAAGTTGTTATTATGCTATAACCCTATTGGTTTGAAGATACAACATTAAGATATTTGTTTTTAATACAAGACTTCCTGTCGTATTTCAATTGTAAAATATTTTTCATAAGCAGTAAATACAATCTTTATTGTAAAAATTATAATGGACATTGTAATTGCAATTTCGATTTGATGGGACATAATTTTGTTTAGGCTAGCAGTCTGTAGTGTATTTTAAGTTGTGATGTGATGTAATGTGTATACAACTTCAATTACAAAATATATCCCGTTTTATGCATGCAATACCTTCCAAGCAATTTTAAAGCTTTCTTTGCGTTCTTTTTTTCAGATGCATTGGCAACGAAATTATCCGATAATTTAACAGCAGCTATGGACTTTTCCCTTAGTGCTGACCATGATGATGAAGATGCATACGACTTCAGCAAAGACTACAAATAATATGATTACATTTCTTGATTTTCTGATATTTAAATGTATCAATTTTAAGGCTAACATTCAAATACATTTTAATTTCAAAGCAACTTTTAGACAATGTTTGTTTTAAAGTTCAACTGACTTCTGTATGTGTTAAGTGCTTGCAGGACTGAAGCGATAGCAGAGCCACCCAATGTCATTTTTCAAACCTACACCTCCAGAAACTTGACCAGTTTCTAAAACTGTTATGAAACAGATATACTGCAATGTGTTGGTATCTGCTGTGTTAGAAAGCTTGAGGGTATAATAAAATTATCCTGTGTGATACAGTGGCTTGTTTTCATTAGTTGTTCTATACCGTACACTTCCCAGTTATCATACAAATAAAAAGTTGAAAACTGAAGAGGGTTAAAATAGCTCTGGAAAGGGGAACAACAGACAAGATTGCAGAAAGAAAACCTAGATTACAACTTGACACCCTTGAACATGCTGCCATTTTGACTTTGCAATGCTTCTCAAACTTAGAAGAGGCTTGTGAACGAATGGGAGCTGTGCTGCGTGATGTTGTAACTGGAAGACGTAAACATTCATTGGAAAACAATTTTACTTAATCAAAAAACAAGAGCAAAGTTTGGTATATGCTTATACACAAATACCCGACTTGTACACAACTGTAACAAAGTAACATATGAACCTAGTGTTATACGTGAAGTGATGTCGGATGTTTTGAAAAGAATGAGCAAGTCTTCCACTTGTGGCCTCTCTCGAACCTGAGGTCGACGCCAAACAATGACATTGACACAATTTGAAATCATTTTTGTCGCGCCTGTCAAACACGGGTTGATGCTAACTATAACAGCTGATGAAGACAAGGTCGTAAAGACATGTTTTGAATAAAGCAGTCGAATTAATCGCCATGCATTTGAAGTGTGTTGTAATTAACGTAACCCACTAAGCAGCTCGTTTTTGGGTAATTGAAGAAACAATATTATTACTGTCATGGAGAGAGTAATCAGCTGGGCATTATTGCAATTAACACCACTGTTTTGCTGACAACATTGCTATACATCAAACTATTGCTTATAAGTTAATCAAGCTAAAAAAATATTGCAACAATGTTTCATTATCAAAGACTAGGCGTTTAGCATTACACTATGTGCACACATCGCTTCCAGGAAGTCACTGCTGGACTTCTTGAACTGCAGAAACGCTACACAGATTACACATTCGGGTGAAAGCAAGAATTGTTTGCCGAAACGTGTGATTGATGAAAGTAATAAATTCACACAGCGGAAAATGTGCACAGAAGACTAGATACAATGCATAAGGCCACATTGCTTTGTACTTTTCCCATTCCATGAAGTGGACACGATATTTTTGGGTGATGTAACTTATTAATTTAACGTAAATTGGGGTTTCAGTAAAATAAAAGTAGTAAATCAACAAATATAGGGAAACTATTACAATTAAACGAGTGTATTCATTTCGACCTGGGATTGTAACTTTTACCGCCGACAAAACATGTGACGTTCTCGGCAAACTTGTCACATAACCTGCTTCCATAACTTTGGTCGGAAGGCGTATATAGGTATAATATCATATTGATTCTGTTTCTCGTAATATATTGCGTAGACAGAAATGCTAACTTTGCCGGCGATGAATCTGAATTAGCAGTAGAAGTAGCTAATTATACGTTTTTTATACTGGAAATTATACTAAAATGCATTCCATATATTGGTCAAATGACAACCGTGACAGACCATTTAGTCATAAGCCACTGAATGTTCACTGTCCGAGTAGTCTTGTATTGATAGCACGTTAAAAAAATACCTGTCGGTCGAATGAATTAAACGGCGAGCTGACGTAATCAAAAGTTCGGTCGCAGCTAGACAGTCGTCACAACAAATGTTGATTGACTACTCCCGGTTGATTACTGCGCATGTGCATCTCTGGCATCACTACCCGGTTGGTCCAGATTATATATGGCTTTTCGCATCAGAATATGAAGCTATGATATACTAAGTTGATGAGTAGAATGAAAAATATAACTTCTTAATTGTTTTATCTAAACTGCAAAATAGAATGTGCCATAGTAAGTTTATTACACGTACCTCGATCTGTCATTAGTGTTATTACATCAGTCAAATAGCAAAATTCATAAATTGTATTTGTAAATGATAGAACCATGTAAACACCAAGCTCACCTCCATATGGTGAGTCGTCACGACTTTATCTTCATGATATATGCAAAAGTACAGCCAGAAATAACATAGTTTAAGACAGTTTTACGGAACCACACGCCTTATATTATCAAATAACGAACTTGTGAGTTGATGACACTGTGATCTCTGTGATGTCACAACGGGAATGTCAGTAGCATGTCTGTAATTGTTTGTGAGTAGTTATGAAGCAAAGACGAACTATGATTAACTGAGACGCGATCAATTAACCCAAAGCGTTACGAAAATCACGGGTAATTCGTGTGACCGAAAGCGTTAAAAAAGGTGTTTTGAATAGTCAGAATGGTAAACCCAATTGCGAAATTAGCCGTGGAGGGGGGGGGGGTAATCCTTTAGAAAAACAAAAGTACGGCATATGCTCTACATATAAGACCATGATGTATAGGTAGTTATTATAGTAGCATGTTTAGTAACTTTTAGACAATGTCCAAATTACAGATAAATTTTTAAATTGTTTTCCCGTCGCTACCTTAAATAAACAACACAAATATTTGAAAGTATATTTATCAAACCGTAAGTATAATGGTCGCAGTATGGTTTTCCGTATAATAGGAACATACATAACTTCAATACAAAATCACTCTTAATTTGTGTACTATCACTTGTACTTGTCTGTTACCTACAGGACATTTCGCTTCACATAAAAAGACATTTACCTAATCAAGTGTTCCAATCGGAAGGGATTGACATGGTACGTCACAGTGTATAAACTATATTTACAAATTTGCTGAAATTGAAAGGACCGTGTAAACAGCGAACCCTTTCCATATGTTTTCTGTAGTCACGACGCTATACACAGTGGTAGCACAATCCACACCATTGCCTTATCCTCTATAAATCAAAAACAGAACGCCTACTGTATGAAAACTAATTGACAAGTACGTAGTCTGGTGGTATATACCTTAGTTACACGTCATCTGATGTCATCTGTACTAATGCTGGTACTGACATGTACTGATGCGTGATCAGTATTTTTTTTACCGAAGTTAAATCTACACTACTGCTAACGTGGACTAAGTAATTTACATCGTCATCAGCTGTACTACCTGAACTACGAAGTAAGTTTATTTCATTTGTTTCTACATTTTATTACTTTTTCCAATTCATGATCTACTATGTGCAGTATATCTTCACGGCATATTAAACAACAAATAGAAAAACTAATCTTCGATGGAAGTTACTATTTTCCATGTCGTTTTATCTCTGTTGGTTATATCAGAATATTATCATTCGGATATATTTGCTTAAACAAATTCAAAGTAACAGGCCGAAAAAAAACATTCACGTTCCAAATACCTTGATGCTATTATTGACACACGGTTGTTTTTTCTCTGGTAGACAAAGGAAAGCGTAAAGTGGTAGATAAAAATATTGTCAATATCGGCTCAGAGTTTTGATTCTTTTAATCAGCGTGCACAGCACACAATTAACATATATCAAATTATGACTTGCATTACGTAATTGTTATTTGTTGTAATGAAGCATGAAGAAATTGTCACTGTGAAAAAAGCATTTTAGCATGCGACAAATTAATATTTAGTGTCTAAAGGTAAAAACGATAGTATACATGTGATGCAGATATGTTCGCTGATAATTGAACAATATTGACTTTAATTTGACTGGTGGCTTTTAATTTTTATATTTTTGATGAAATCTATCATCAAATACAACAGCATGTTTATCAAATTTTATCCAAGATTCTCAACGAATTGACTGTTCACCTAGATAATTAGTCATTTTTTAAATGCAAATTTAAAATCACAATAAGGACCCTCTTGAAGAAAACGATCCTCAAATTAATTTTCAATATATGAATGTTCCACGCCCATAACCTTCCTATACAAACACATAGGAGATTCCTTATGTTTTATAGAAATATATAGTATAGTTATACTATTATGCAAAGCCATACACTCGAAAGAAAAATCGAATATACGGGTATAATCTCTTTATATGTATAGGAATATATGATTATTAATTCCAAAAACTTTCATGCAAAAACCTTGCCATCCCCTACCTACTTCAAGATTTGTGACTAGATTCATGTTAAATACCTTTGTGTTTTTTCTAAAAATTAGCATGCTTACATACCCCCCCCCCCAAAAAAAAATTCAACCTTTCTTTCCCAAAAACTGCGAAATACAAATGATTTTGTACGGCCCTGAAATTATACACAGTTTACATATGTTCTTGTGGGGGCTGATTATAAATATGACGTTTGTTGGGGTGCCCAGATTTGTTATTTTCTTTAATTTCCTCCTTCTATAAGTTGTATATTACTATCTTGGAAGTCCTACCTGCCTAACTCCATTAACGAAGGGCGAAGACACTATTTAGTGATAAACGCAAATAATTTATTCATGTAGACACATTCCGATAAATAAAGTACATACCTAACATTTATAGAAAAAACAATGTAGCAATAATGCGACTATTTTTGGCAGCGAACTTGACTTGGCGCCATGCATCTGTAGTCTGCAATGTCACAGCAATTATTCAATTCAAATTTTAACAAATCCAAAGTCTTTCGTAATATTTTGTTTACTTTGCATGTGTTCTATGTTGTGTTTAAAGTTTTGATATATGTTTACACAACCATAAAATATTATATAATATATAAAATATATATAATCAAAAATTAGTTTTATACCAATTATATGCGGGAAAAAAGTATTACAATAGAAAGTGGCATGTCCGAAACATACTTTCCTGGCTAATAACTGTCAATCTCGAGAGAGCCCAGCAACGATGCCGTTTATTTGCTTTACTTTCTATAAGTTTTCAACAACAAAAGACATACATACATGAGTAATCATGAAGAATTGTAATCTGCTACTTTTTATTTATCAAGCAGAGTGAAAGGTTATAGAGAGAAGCGGGTAGGACGATGGCAGAATGCCGTATATGGACATATTCAGTGGTGGTTCTTGTTTGCATACTGCATCTTGTTGCAGCAACAGACAGTGACCAAATGCAAGTATCGTTAATATTTTTTAATATGTGATTTAACATTTCAAACAGACCAAACATATCACAACTGTAACAACGTTGCCCTTGATAAATGTAGCTATTATATAATGAATAATAGATACACATTTTTTATGGAAATATTTTAAAACAAATTACACAATTGCTTAGTTAACTATTACAAACTAGATACTAATTCTAATAGCAACAATGTAGGTGATATCAAATGATTATCTATATATACTACAACTAATATTTGCCTGTTTCCAAAATGTTGCATATGTGGTTTACTGTGAAGGATACCATGCACTGACGCTACACAACGTGATAACTGATAGTGAAATGACGGTAAAGCTTTTACTACGTTTAGCTATTTAAAAAAGTAATACTGCAAATTTGGCAAATTTCAGCCGTTTTTTTCTAGTCCTATCGCAGGTTATGTGTTGGCACGTACATCGTACGTGTGTTACGCAGTTCCTTTTCAATAGGACAATGAACCTGATATTTGCCTTTAGGATTTATGTACGTATCAAATTAAACTAAATGCTGAACAAAATACGATCGCTATAGAAAAACACAAAAATATAACTCAAACTATTTATTTATATAACATAAATGAAATAAAATAAAATGAAACTTCCAAGACATTTGCAGTGTGTTATCAGGGGGAAATTCTTCTCCTGTGGGTTCTTCACACGTGCCAGGGGGGAATATCTCGTCTGGTCTCTATGTCACGTCTGCTTGAGGTACGGGATCGAGAACGTCACTTAAACTCTACAGTTAAATAGACGCACACAACGAAATACGTATCTCGTCTTTAGTCGGTTAGTCGAGTACTCTATAAGACACAGCGCCCAGTGGAAAAGTCCCCAAGACTATCGCAAGGCTGGTCCAAGACTGCCCCAAGACTGCGTCGGTCCTGGTGTTCTCGCCAAGACCAACTAAAAACTCTTTTTATTCACTTTCAAAACCTTAACTAATTAAAAAGCAGTTTAAAGACTCTGGGGCGTAACCTTCACACATACAGCCAATCACACTAAGTACTGGACACGTCATATCTTTTGATTAATCGTTCACTATATTGCTAACTGCGAATACCAACTGTCAGAAATAGTAGTCCGGATAGCGACGGTTATATCGTAATTAGTTCCAAATCACTGAGTCAAGTTCCGTCCAGGACCTCACATGAGCCTAAATGATGACAGATATAACACCGCCATTCACATGTAATCAGCTAAATAAGTCGATCAACAGATACGCGCAAACAAATTCATGACAGTGTGCACAAATGTTGACTTCATCAAATTACGTAAAAATGTAATATTAATAGAAGCCAGGAATGAAAATATATATATCAATTATTCGGAAAAAGTTTTTGCTTGGTTTAGTACTGTTTATGCATGATGGGATTACAGCATGGTGGCGTTATCGAACTGTATGACATGCGCGCGCACCAGAAACAGGCACATAATTTGTTATACACACAGATGTGAATCGAAAAGAAGTTGCGTTATTGTATCATTATTGAACAACTTTTACTTCTAGTAGTCTGTACATACGAGTGTTTTGACAACTTCTACTAATGTGAGGTTTTCTACACTTTCATATAAAGTTGTATATCTAATCTGTGAAGTTTAGTGCTGTCTGTGCTCTAGTGTCCTTGTGAGACGATCTATTGTAGGTATCATTGTGTAATAAATAGTAGCCATGTAAAACAAAGCCAAATGATCTGTCATCACCAGCAACAGTTATAGTGATACGTATTAGTGACAAACACAAAGCATGTGATAATTTTCTACAAATACAACCCATCCTGAAAGAACTTAAAAGCATCCAAGTGAAGTATTTTCTTTTTCTTTTCTTTTTCACAGTGTTGTGGTACTACACTCACTGAAGTCAACAATCTTACCCAGTGACGGTAAATAATATAGACAAACGTTACAAACATTCTGTATGGAATAATAATAATAATAATAATAATAATAATAATAATAATAATAATAATTATAATAATAATTTATTATAATTTATGCATTGTAGTTAATTCGATTGGAAAACGTGGTGCTGATATTGCTTCACGATTTGTATCGTCTTGTGAGTATACTTAGTCAATATTTCACAATTGAATATAATTACAAATATAGATCGATAACCTTTTCGATAGGTTCAATATTTATACACACTTATAAAAATAAACTAACCAATATTGAAATCACTTTAAACTTTGTGTGCGCATATCTATTTGCTCATGAATATAATTTTGGAAAAATTAATGTCAAACTTAAACTACATGTAAATTTATTTTATTTATAGCTATTGGTGTAAGTGGTCACTGCGTTACATGGGGACAATCACATTACAGGACATTTGACGGCAAAGTATACACATATGATGGGGGTTGTACTTACACCCTGGTAGGAGACTGTGTCTCTGGTACTTTCCAGATATTTATTCAGAATGATGCATCCTGTACTGTGAATAACATGATTAGTTGCGAACGTGTCGTCACCATACAGACACTTACCAATCGACTGACCCTTCGTCGAGAAGACGATGTGCCAAGTGCTTTCATTGACAACACCAAGTTGAACATACCAACAGAGGAATATGGATACCTGATAGAGACAGTTGCACATTATATTATTGTAGAGAGTGGCTTGGGATTTATCTTGACTTGGGACGGCGGGGAAGGAGTTGAAGTTAAACTTACAGATGAGACTTTGTCGGAATACGAGAACACGTGTGGTCTCTGTGGTGTGTGGAATCATAACCCTAACGATGACTTCACATTACCCGATGGTCAACGGACATTCAACGTGAAAGAGTTTGCAGAGGCATGGAAAACCACTGACCCAGAGCTATCACAAGGTAAGTACTCGTAGCGTAGGCTTTTACTCGGTAATATAAACACAAAACGTAATTGCAGATCAGACACCACGTTTATCGATCAGATAGTACTGAAACAAACACAACTTTCCCTCCCTATCCCACAAAGCACGAACCATGCTTTGCAATTATACATTGCATATACCAATTATAACTTCACATTATGGATGTTGTTACATGTGGGGAATACATTTCGTGCAAAACCTCGTCAAATATCGCGCTGTCAATTAGTCATATTTTGCATTGCCATTATTACTCACGCAGCTCAATGTGAAGAAGGAGCGAGTCGTCCAAATTGTACTGGTGCAGATGTGAACACTTCATGCGACATATTAGAGCAAGAACCGTTCAACGTGTGTCTTTCGGTAAGTGCGTATGTTAGCAATGTCCACGTTTCATATCAATACCAATTGAAACGTGAATATGTCATCAATGCCTACGTTGCATATCAATGCCATTTAAAAAGTAAATGTGTCACCAATGCCTACGTTTAATATCGATGATATTTGAAAAGTGAATGTGTCACCAATGCAAACGTTTCATATCAATGCCATCTGAAACGCGAATGTGTCACCAATACCAACGTTTCATATCAATGCCATTTGAAAAGTGAATGTGTCACCAATGCCAACGTTTCATATCAATGCCATCTGAAACGCGAATGTGTCACCAATGCCAACGTTTCATATCAATGCCATTTGAAAAGTGAATGTGTCACCAATGCCAACGTTTCATATCAATGCCATCTGAAACGCGAATGTGTCACCAATGCCAACGTTGCATATCAATGCAAATTGAAAAGTGAATGTGTCATCAATACCAACGTTTCATATCAATGCAATTTGAAAAGTGAATTGTCACCAATGCCAATGTTTCATATCAATGCCATCTGAAACGCGAATGTGTCATCAATGCCTACGTTTCATATCAATGCAATTTGAAAAGTGAATGTGTCATCAATGCCTACGTTTCATATCAATGCCATCTGAAACGCGAATGTGTCATCAATGCCTACGTTTCATATCAATGCCATCTGAAACGCGAATGTGTCATCAATGCCTACGTTGCATATCAATGCCATTTAAAAAGTAAATGTGTCACCAATGCCTACGTTTAATATCGATGATATTTGAAAAGTGAATGTGTCACCAATGCCAACGTTTTATATCAATGCAATTTGAAACGTGAATGTGTCATCAATGCCTACGTTTCATATCAATGCAATTTGAAAAGTGAATGTGTCATCAATGCCAACGTTTCATATCAATGCCATCTGAAA